GGCATGTTATTTCCCTGCAATAGACCAAACCATCTATTAAACTTTGATTACAATGTATACTATATTTTAAATGTAAACTATGTCACTAATTATAACTCACATCATATGTACCATACGTAAGAGGAGGACCACTTGTACCACCCATAATAACTTGAGGTCGAGGTTGAGATGGAGAAATGTAGATATCATGACGATGATCCTAAATACAACCAATATAAAAGCATGTAACCAAAATTTTTTAAAAACAAAAGAAACATTATCGAACATTGATATTACCTTATTATAATTAATATTACCTTATTATAATTAACACTCATGACGAAACGAGGTTGTGAATGAGAAAAATTGACACCAAGACCATGATCCTAAATACAACCAACATAAAGTATGTAAACAAAATGTTCTACTAAAAAACATGGTCATTATTTAACATTTTCTTAAAAACTTGCACACAAATAAATATTAGAATTACCTGATTAGAATTACTACCCATGATGAAACGAGATTGTGATTGACCTTGGCAAGTATAAATAGCAGCACCCGACTGCATTGCCAGGCAAAGCAATGTAAAAATAACAAAAATTAAATGACAAGCAACCCAATGAAAGGATATAAACTATTAAGTATTACCAGAATAGAATTACCACCCATGACGAAATGAGGTTGTGATTCACCTTGGGAAGTGTAAACAGTACCATCCGACTACATTGCCAAGCAAACCAATTAAAATGAAATTAATTCACAAAACTAACCATATAAAGACCACATTACTATTAAATATTACCTGAATAGAATTACCACCCATGACGAAATGAGGTTGTGATTCACCTTGGGAAGTATAAACAGTACCACCCGACTACATTACCAAGCAAACAAATTTTAATGAAATTAATTCACAAAACTAACCATATAAAGACCACATTACTATTAAATATTACCTGAATAGAATTACCACCCATGCTGAAATGAGGCTGAGATTCACATTGGGGAGTATAATCAGCGGCACCCTATATACAACGAAAAACCTTAATGAAAGTGGGTCATTACTAAATAAAATCAATGTCTTAGTTTATTAATCTACTGTATTTTAATCATATGCAATTTTTCATGTCCAAACCTGAATAGATTACATCCTTTTCTTCTTTGCAATAGATTTTTCCATCCCGCCTTTGATCCTCCTTCTTCCCTTACTAGTTGACTCTCTTTTCTTAAGTCCCTTAGCTTGGATTAGACAATCTACTTCATCACTTTGTGGGCATGCATTGCTTGACGAATTTCTCAAATCAGTTATCTCCAGTTGACCACAAATGTGGAGACTTAATTTGTCTTCAACCATTACACTCATTTCTTCACCTTTCGAAACTAACAACTGATAAGTTTCTTCACTTTCAGCGGCTCTACTCGCTATTGCTCTAAACATGGTCATTAATGACCGATATCGGTCACTTTGATGTAATTTGACATCAGCCTTCACTTCATACCCACGTCTATCTTTCACTCATTCAGCCCTTGCTTTTTTAGTCCATCGTTTGAGTATATACTGTGGAGGAAGTTCCGTTGCATTGAATATATCTCTAAGCACCTTGACACAATATCGACATAGTATGCCCTTCACTTCAAACTTCTTGCAACTACAACTCAAGCAACCCCCTCTATCCATTGTCACAATCTTATTTTTTCTCCCATCTACCATTGTTCTTATTGTGAATATGGTGCTCTCACCATCATTAGTAGTGCCTATAATGGATGCTTCAATGGACTGCACATACTCATTTTGGAATTCCTCAAAAATTGTTTTCGTGTAAATCTCTGCCACTTGCTTTAACATCAAAGTTGGAATTGAAACCCTCGGCAATTTTTGGGACAAATTATACTCGGCTTCCAATTCCTTATACCTCTTCTCATAAAGTACCCTCTCAAAATGCTTGAAGAACTCCATCAAGTTATGGTCACAATTTAGATAATCCTTCAGAAATGCATTAAAGGATTCACTAAGTTGAGTAGTACTCATTCCAGCTGCCCAAGAATTCATAATATATGGCCATCCTCATTTCTCCTTCACGCGAAAAGTCTGCTCCAACCAATGATTGTCGAATGCATCATACTTATCAAGCATTTGGTCCCACTGTATTCAGAATTCTTCTTCATCATCGATGTCATGCATAAATTTTGAAAACACAGCCTTCACCCCTACATCATTGAAAACAGAACTTACATGCTTGACAGCATTTTGCATCAAATGCCACGTACAAAGACGATGGTTTGTATCGGCATGACAATTGGAATGGCCTTAGCCATCGCAGCATCTTGATCCGTGAAAATAGTTTTCGGAGCTTTGTTTGACATTGCCTCCAAAAAAAATTTGAAACAACCATGTAAAAGATTCAGCAGTCTCATCATACATCAACGCTGCACCGAATATAACTGTTTCTCGATGATGATTAAATCCAACAAATGATCCAAAAGGTCTATACTCGTTATTTAGTTTGTAAGTAGTGTCAAATGTCACTACATCACCAAACTGAGCATAATCCATGATCATTTGAGCATCAGCCCAAAATATATTACTTATCTACTCATCACAATCTAATTGGACTGCATAAAAAAAAGATGGATTTTTCACAGTTTTCTTACGAAAGTAATGCAACACACTACCCGTTTCTCCATATTCCAAATCTTTTTGTCTCTTTGATCTTAGGTAATTTTTTTGGTCCAATTTGGTGAAACCAAGTGATGCTCTTCCACCAGATTCCCTACCAAATAGTTCATAAGCAGACCTAAGAGGAATTCCAGATTGTGAAACTAATTCTACTTCAATTGCTTGGGTGGTAGATATTTTTCTTTGGGATGGCAACATATGAATGCAATCTTGAGGCACAACATGATTATGATGTTCAACAAAATCACAAGCAATATATTTTCCTGATATTCTATCTAACTTGATACTAAATCGGGCACCACAACCACATCTTACCTCTTGTCTTGGATTTTTGACAAGTGGATCTCGTTTGTCAATACCCCGACTTCCCTTTTTGTAACATACAAACGTATGTGATGTTATCTCGTTCGTCTGTCTGTTCTTGTTTGCATAGGCCTTCCTAATACTAAAGCCCACCTTTCCCCCATACGTATTGTAAAAGTCATATGCGGCTTGTTCAGAGTCAAATGGCATTCCCACTTTCGGCTTCCAACCACAATCATCAACAATATTATTTTCTTCCATTACCTACAATTCATATATATAAACCACATTTATACTTAATTGCAGGTTCATATATATAAACCACATTCATATATATAAATCACATTTACCTACAATTCATATATATAAACCATATAATGGAGGCAAATTATATGAATCCACAACTAAATTTATGAATCTAAAAATAGATCAGTGTGATTAACTATATATATAGAACATAAAATTTCATATGAAAAAATCTGACTTACTTCACTGACTGAACCCATTTCAGTTACTGAATCCATTTCATATGAAAAAATTTGAATTAATTGATTTCAAAAATCTGAATTTGAATTAACAGATTAAATTCTGAATCAAATATATTCAAATCAAATTTGAATTAACATGGGTTAATCTGAATCAAATTTGAATCAATTTGAATTAAAATCTGAATTAAATTTGAATTAATCTGAATCAAATTTGAATTAATCTGAATCAAAAATATTAAAATCTGAATTTGAATTAACAGATTAAACCTAGGCAACAATATATTCAAATCAAATTTGAATTAACATGGGTTAATCTGAATCAAATTTGAATCAATTTGAATTAAAATCTGAATCGAATTTGAATTAATCTGAATCAAATAAAAAATATTATCATTTCAAAATCATACATAACATAGCACTTTGAAACATAGTTCATAATAACATATCTTTACAGGAATGTTACTCACAGTGAGTTTCCAAAACCGGTTGCACGGTCTTCGCCTCTTGACCTGCAACTATCAACATTATAACACATTTCTTCAATACACATCATCATTAAATCACGTAATTCATGCCATTCTATTCTTTCTTAACTCTATTTTCATGTTCATGAGATGCCAGATGATGCAAATAACATATGAAAATCATGTAATTCAACTTCCCAAAATTTCCTGAAATTAGGTCCTCCGCTCGAGCGCCACTTTGGCCGCTTGAGCGTCCTGTACAATTTTCCAAAACTGCTGAGAGGCCGATTTTCACACTCGAGCGGGAATCCCTCCGCTCGAGCGGACCAAGCAAAAATCCGAAATTCTGAACTTTTCCAAAGTTTCAACCTTTCCTTTCCCAAAACAACTTCATAGTGATAGAACCAAGTCCCAAAACACTTGGAAACCCACTTAAATTGAACATCAAAACTTCTAACAAAACCCAAATGCATCAAACCAAAGAATCAACCTTGAATCAAAATGAAAAACTATAATCATGCACATACAAGCTTCCTTTCTCAAAATCCATGGAGGTCTCCCTCAAATTTGCCAAATGTAACCATAAATCATCAATTTCTACCATGCATGCTCAAATTAAACATATTTCCCCTTTCAATCCTCTTATTTAACATGAGATCATACATGAATCAACCTTGTTTCAAAAAATTAGAGAAAAGTTCTTTACCTTGATTGCTTAGTTGGAGAAGAGTTATCTTGATTTCACCCTTTTTCCTTCTTCTTTCCCCTTGCTCTCTCTCTCACGAATTCTCTCTTCTCTCTCCCTTAGATATTTCCTTCTCTTGTTTTTTGAGTCAAAATGGGTCAAACATCCTTATCTTATATCATATAATAAAATTGTGCCATAACTTAAGCCAAACAAGACTTAGCGATTCAGACGAAATTCAGTTCTCAATTTATTTTTTTCTAAATAGTTTTAAAAATTCCCGGCATCACATAGACATGTTCAATTTCATTTTCTGAATCCATTACGGTCGTCAATTTCAGTTCCGAAATTGTAGTTTCAACAGATATTTTCCTAAATCAACTAGATATTCTTCAATTAAATCACACGGTTCCGGGTCATTACAATCAGAGTACTGATCGATACAAGGTGATAAGAATGCTTTATGTTACTGTCAAAGACGACCCAACAACAACAAATGGTACGGTTTCGTTTAGGATGGAAGGAGAGATTTACACCGTTGGAGGAAGTGGGGAATGGAGAAGGATCGGAGAGGTACCGTACCCACTTCGAGCGAGAGAATCGGAGGCGTATTTGAATGGGGTTCTTCACTGGTTGATGACTGATCAAGATATCGGAATTGAAACTTGTGAGTTCATTGGTGCTTTTGATGTTGCTAGTGAGGAATTTCGATCGCTTCCACCACCACAGACTCAATTCAGTTCAGAGAGCCGGACCTCTTTGCGGCGATTGAATTTGAATTTGGGGGTTTTGGGTGATGAATTATGCATTTTCGACAATTATTTCAGTGATCGAATGGAGATATGGATGATGAAGGATTATGAGGTACAGAGTTCTTGGACCAAACAGTACGTTATCAAGCGACCCAGGAGCTTGGAGGTGCAGCAGGATACGAGAGTCTATTTTAAACCATTGGCATTGAAGCTTACCCACAATGGTGAAATTCTGATGCTGTATGACTCTGTTGCCATTGTTTGTTACAACCCAGTTGGAAAATTTTTCTATCACCTCGGACTTTTTGGGTTTCCGGTTGCTACTAATGTCTGTAAAGCAATTGTTCATGTTGGAAGCCTAGTTTCACTTAGGAATGTTGCAGCTAATGAAGGTGAAAATAGGTAATCTGTTGATTTTTCCTTGGTCCATTCTGATTTACTGTTTTTCGCTTTTAACTATATCGTTGTATTCTTTGTGCAGCAGCAACACTGCTGTGGATAAAAGTGTAAAGAGGTAATAATGTAACATTTGTTAATTGCACTGTCTATAGTGTGGGAATGCCTAGTTTTATTTAAGTTTTGCTTAGAGTTGATGTGGTCGATGAAAGTGCAGAGAGGTGAAATTCTTGTTCTATTATTTTACTAGGATTTTTTTGCTCACATGCCTAATTATGCTTTTGGGTATTTACCATGGTTGTCAGAATCTTACGATTTATGATTCAATATGAGTTGCAGGCAAAACGATTCGCTGTGTAGTTGAATCTTAATTTGAGTGAATCTCACGATTTACTATGATTCACTATAATTCAACCTGTTTGCATAATGTATGAAATAGCATATTTTTTGTTAAAAAAAAAAAAAGAAAAGAAATGGTAGAGCTCAACTTATTGTATTGATATTTATTTCATTTTAAACATTGTAAGTGTATTTTATATGTATATACATATATAAAATTATAGATTATACTAAGTAAAGTGAATCTTACGATTCATGATTTACTATTTTAGCAAAACGATTCACAATTTGACAGCAATGGTATTTACTAAATATTCCTGTATTATCGTTATAGTTCTTGTTGCGCTCATTAATGTGTAGAAGTATTGCCCTTGAATTAGCCTCCTTGTTGTGTGTCCTCTGTGCAGATGGACATACGAGCCATGCGTACACTCTATGCTGTCTCTGAAATGTACAAAATAATCGAACCATAATTGTATCTATATGATTTAGGACTCCCACAGTAGATGGATGTTTAAATCTTATGTTTGATTACACGCACTGTACATTTTTTCTTTGAATTGGCTTAATTAATCTCATGTTGAGCTATCACTGTCTGCTTTGATATTGTCTTTGAATGCTTTATGCTGGAATGCTTTGATGCAAGTGTAAAGAGGCTTTTAGGTCTCGTGTTCCATAAATTTGCTTTAAGTCAATTCCATTTGTGTTTTTTTTTTCTCCAACTAAGTATGTCCTTTTAAGCCTTTTGTTCTTTTTATTTTCTCTAGTGCTGTTTCCACCCGACATAAATATGCCCCTTTAGCATTTTCTTCTCATGCTCTATAAATGTTCCTTATCACTGTCACGTTCGTTTTGTTTAGTAATACCATATGTTCTGTTCCCTCTCTAATCATCTGCTTTAGATGAGAAACTGCCTTATTCAAAGTGTTAATTGTTTATTTACAAAATTGACAGACTTCCAAACCATAATTTTACTCTCTTCCTCTCTCAAAAGGTTCATTAATGTCAATGAAACACGTCTAAAACTGTTGCATGTTAAAATCTATGGTTTGTTCCTAAAAGATCCACTCTTAACTCTCAAGTAATATTACTTTCTACATTATCTCATAGTTCATAAAACTACTCAAATTGTCTAATTTAGCTTAAACATCATGTGATGCTTGCAACATAGAAAAAGAACCACTCTAATGTCAATGAATGTGATTTTTTTTGAAACACTTTCCTATTTGATATTTGATTGTCTCTTCATCTGTACTATTATATAAACATACACCTGAGCTAGTGTAAAAGATGTCACATTTTTTACTTTTCCAAGAATACCCTTCCCACCTAGTAATTATCACCCTTCTCATCCTGTAACTGTCACATCCAATAACTGTTAGGATGATTTTTCTCCTTCATCAAACCCGTCTAAACTGTTAATCAGTTTTCCTCAATCATCAAACTATCCAAAAATGTAAATATAGAATTGCAAACGCTTGCACCCACCACTAGTAAAGTTATGATGTGCAAATGTACCTTGAACCAAAAACAAAAAAGGATAAGAAAAGGGTTATGTTGTAGATTAGTCATTTGCCTTCGCCTCGTGGTGGTGCATAGCTTCCAAACACTTTCTGGCCCAATTCTCATGCTTTTGTTGTATTTAGCAGACTGATGTTTATCATATGGATGATAATTGTATTTAAATTTTAAATCATTTCTAGGTGTATCGGCCTTGTTTTTCTCACAATATGGTGGGAAGTAGTTCAAAAATTACTTTCACTTGCTTCAAATACCGAACTATGTTTTTGATGAGTTTAGTTTGAAAACTTCCGATTCCAACCTTACATTTTGGCTAAACATATTACAGCAGGAAGATCAGTGACATTCCATATGGGACATGGGACACTATCTTGTATCCAATTCCTACCCAGTTAAGTGTTTCAGTCGGTAATTTTATTCATATAAAACCAAGAAAACGTCATTCATGTCAATTATAACAACCTTAATTGACCTTTTTGCTATTGTTTTCCCCCTACTATGAGCAGTGAACCAAAACTGGACATCTGCAAGTGGTTAGCAGAGAAAGGAGTAGCTCTTCACATAGGTCGACTTGATCGCCCTGCAGTTCCACGTTAGAGGTTGCTGCAGAAAATAGTGGATGTTTGGGTTTAATTCAGAGCTATGCTTTTAAGATCTTGCTATTTTGCTTTCACATCTGGGTACTTTAATTTCCATTTTGGAGTTTTAATGCTGACTTAATACTCTTTCAATTCCATTATACTTTTACTTGTTCATTCATGTTGCCTCACATGTTTGTGATTTTTGAAGTAAGATGAGTATATTGGTAAAAATTAAATGCCAAAAAATATTTTTTGTGCAATTCGGACTTAATTCGGGTCAAGCTTGAACATCGGGTTACAATTTGAGTTTGGGCGGGTCCGTGCTTTCAGTACAACTTGAGTTGGGCTTGGAATGCTTGAGTTGCACCCCTACAATATATGTCCCAATCCTCCACTTTTTGTCTTCTTTGTTTTAATTATATTTTGATCACTAAAATACCAATCCTGTATCAATTTGATCTCTAATATTTAAATTGTGTCTTGAGGATCAAGTTGACACAATCAAAACATCGAAATCAAATCAGAAGGGAAGTTAATGTGCGTATGCCAAAATTATAGAACTATTTATATTTATTCCAAATTTTAAAGAAGCTCAGTGTATTTATTTGTCTATTTAATTTTTTTTAGGGCTATACAAATCCAGTTTGGCTACTGCTTTTCTAATTATTTTTGGGTTGGTGGAGTTTTACAATTATTTTTTATTTAAATAATTTTAATTTAAAATACAGTTTGTGTATTCAATCCAAAAATATTAATGACTGAATTATTATTTTTTAATTATAACTAAATTTAAAGAGATTGCGAATACACACAATCATATCATGCATATATAGTTAGAGCACAATTATAGCATTTTAACACTATTGCGTATTAAAATATAATATTAGCACAATTGAAGTAGCATGATACGCTAAAAATACCTAATTAACTTGGAAAACTACCCTAGGTGGGAGAACTCTCTCATGCGTAATGGCACACAAATAAAATACATCATAATTCATCTTTAGTCATTCATTAACTTAGAGAGTTACATTTCAATACATTGTCAACTCATTTTCCATTCATCACTTGAAATCAAACAATTACCAAAATAAAAATTAAAGGTTAAAAAATGTCAACTAATATTTAACAGGATCAATCATGGCTTCAGATCTCCAGTGCCTCGCTTTCTCAAACCCATTACTATAATTCTCATAATCTTCAATTGTCCGATCAATCTCTTGTTGACTGTTCATCACAAATGGCCCAAACTGCACCACTGGTTCACCCAACGGTTCACCTCCAACCAGCACAAACCTTAGCGGCTTTGATGACTTGTTCCAAGCTTCAAGCCCATCCCCAGAGCCCAAAAGAAGAAGATGGTGAGGCGTTCCAAGCGATGATTTTGAGTTGCCAAAAATGCCCTCACCATCCAAAACATACACAAATGCATTCCATGAAATGGGTATTGGTTGATGAAGATGGGACCCTGGGTTGAGAGTGAAGTCCAAGTACATAGTGGGTGTTCTTGTGTATACTGGTGATTTGGTTCCTAAGGACTCACCAGCTATTACTCTGACCTTGACTCCATCTTTTGTAGCTTCTGAGATGTCCCTGCTTGAAATTTCTTAATATCCTGGCTCAATCCTGTGATTAAGCAAAACAGATAATGAGTTTGAATGATTATGCAAACTTAATGGATTGTGTTTCATTTTCTTCGTTTTCATTTTGTGTTTTTCAAAAACAAAAATAATAAAAAATTTGATAATACTCATTGTTTTTATTTTAGTGCAAAAAATAGCTTTAAGGAATTTGAAATCAAGTTTTTGGTATCCTAAAAAGTGAGTTTTTTTGGGATTTTTTTCCTTTACTTTTTTGAGAACTCTTACGATTCATAGATGCACACAAAAAGGTTTCATCTCATCCAGTATAAAGAGAGATATTACTATGCACACCCTTTAAAATTAGGTATACAAAAAAGATAGGAATCATGAATTTGTCAAGAATTTTATTCTGAAAAATGATGTATGTTCTAGATTCAATTATTATTAATGGAAGAGATCCACAAAATTATTTTTTGATGTCTAAGGTCCCTAAACATATCTCAGAGAAATTTGACTCTTTCTCTCTACTCTACTCTCTCTCTCTCTTCTCCTTTCACCCACCGTCTTCCAGATCCAAGGCAATAAGCTCTGCTCCTCCACCCTCCTCTACGACCTCTTCCTCAACACCTTCTCCTCCGACTCCTCCCTTTGGTCCGGTACCGTCGCACCTCCGTTTGGAATGGTAAATCACGATGTGTTTGGAATGGTTAATCATGACGTTTTGCAGAACGGATCCCAATGGATGGAGCGACCGGACAGTAGCAGAAGCATACACTATGATCCGTCTTCCTCGCACGATGACATTTGCAACCTTGATTTCTACAAACTTGTACAGAGAAAAATTTCTGTGTGTTTGTTAACAATTTTAAACTAGAGAAAATTGAGTATAATGACGGTGATACTCTGTAACTGAGTATAATTGATTTCCATATTATCGAAATAGGTACTCCTTGCTCAGGAGGAAGATTAGAAGTCTATACTGGAATGGCTCACCCATAGCATGCCGCTGATGGGGTGGCCGATGGCAGTAGAGCAGTTTTTCAGTGCCAAGTTCTTGGCTGAGAAGATTGGGGTTTGTGTGGCGGCGGCAGAGGGAGTTTAATGTTGAGGTTAGGCATCGGGATATAGCGGAGAAGATAGAGTTGGTGATGTTAGAGTGAGCAAGGGAAGGAATTGAGAAGGAAAGCTGGTGAGATCAAGGAGATGATTGAAGATGCCATTAGAGATCAAAACGGTTTCATGGGGTCTTCCGTCAAAGCTATAGATGAGTTTCTTAATGCTGCTTTGTTGATGAAGGGGAAGACAAAAAAAGGTTTACACACAACACAATAGCTAGGTGTTCAAGTACATCTGGTCAAACATGTCATTGGGTAGTTCTGTCAAACCAATGCAACCAGAAAGATCAAGCACCTCCAGTTTTTTAAGGGGATTCAAGTCTACCAACTGCTCCAGGTACGCACAAGAGGATAGTGAGGCCCCAAGAATTTCTCAAATTTCTCTGGATTCAACCAAGAGAAATTTGAATTTTCTCTGGATTCATTTTGACAGGTTTCTTTCGAGGCGAGCTATTGATGTAAGTTTGATTTCAATTTTCAATTTTGATTATGAATTTTAAAGTTTTTTGGTTAATTGTTGGTTATTATAATTAAAAGCAAAGTGACAAGTGGTGGGCGATGTTTTTTTTAGATGCTGGTGTGAACATGTTTTTTTTAGATGCTTTTGGTATGTAATAGGCATCGGCAATCTTTGCTGCTCTTTGTATTATCAGCAAGGAGATGAAATCTAAGAATTATATTGAACCAATATTATACCATGGATTTGCTTTTGCTTCTTCAGGTGGAACTTTTTGATGGAGCTTTAAAAAATAGCCTGTTATTTCTGGATTGTTCTTGTAGGGACTTGTATCTTGTAGATGGATGGAGTTTAATGAAAGTGAGAGTTGTTGATGCTTATAACTTGGAAATTAAAAAAAAATCTTCTGTTAGATCAATCATTGTTTAGCTTCTATAGATTATAGAGTGGTGAGTAACAACAGTTGGAGAAACAAGATCATTTTAGCTTGAAAAGTAACAGAACAGTCAATGAAATTTCTCTGGAGAAACCTCCAGCAGGATCATATATATAGGTTGTTATTTGTTGCTTATTCACTCAATGAAATGATCTTCTCTCTCTGCTTTGAACTGAAATTTCTCTGGCTTGGTGAAGAGAAATTTTCTTATTTGAACTGAAATTTCTCTGAGAAGTTTAGGGAAGTCAAATTTCTCTGGATCAATTTTCTCTGACTTGAATTTTCTTTGGACCAATTTTCTCTGGATTGATGTTGAGGGATCTTAGACATCATAAAAATATTTGATGTCCTTTATACTATAAAATCATAATATCAGGGACCTTAAAAAAAATACCCCTTTTATTAATATGCATTTTTTAAATTTTATTTTTATTAAATTTTGTTAGTATGTGCGTTTCTTTCAACTTATTTTTTATTGGATTTTGTTATCGCATATATGTTAAGAAGATGAATAATACTATATGTATCAATCAATACACATTAGTGTACTAACAGATGATGTGACATCATTTGTATGGTTTTAGATACTTGTAACTTGTATAATAAATATGGTCAATAATAATGTCATAACACTAGTTTGTACATTAGTGTGTATACTAATTGGTGCATGTAGCACTACCGTAAGAAGAAAGTACATGTAATAAAAAATATATAATCATTTTAAGTCTTTTTAATATATTTTCTAAAAACACATGTTAACAAAAGTCATGAACTTTTCCAAACTTTGAATTTTATTTTTTTTTAATTTTTTTTATTGGCTCATTTAGACTCGACAATCCTAAATATTAAAACAAATTTTTTATTTATTTAAAATAAGCCTACTAAATGAGTCAAAAGCAAATTCAAACCACTTTCAATTTTTACAAGTCTAAAATGTTTTTAAAAAAATAATAACTCAAAATTGGACGAAAAAAAAAAGCATCACTAAAAATAAAAATAAACAAAAAATAATAGTTATCCATAAATAATAATAAAAAATTATCTTTTGTGGTTATTGAAAAAAATATAATTTAATTTGTAAAAATAAAAAAAAATGATGTCACAAGCTCTTCATATAAAAATAGTAGAAATGACAAGAAATGAAATTTAAAAAATGGGTCTATCTTAAAAAGTGATGACCCAATGCACCATGCTCTCATTAATATGAAGTTGAGGTTCTTCCTAACTTCTATCATAATTTATGTTAGGTTCCATAAAAGCAGAGCACTATGAGAGAAGTTTCATTAGCTTGAAAAAAAGAAAGAAAAGTATAAAACACATAAATTGATGATAGAATTCGATCCAGTAATAATTTTTTAAAAATTATTGGAAAAAAAATAATAATAATTGGTATTATATATGTACCTGCAACATGTAAGAGACTGTTTCAAATCCTGTAAAATATGAAAAACAGAGCATCAGCAATCTTTTCTCAACTAAAAACCGAAACAAAAGAGAAAAAACAAAAACAAATAAGAGTTCAAGAATCAAATTCAAACCTCTCTGTGGATGATCAGGAAACCCAGCAGGTGCAGAAACTGA